ACCACCACTACTACTACCACTACTACCACTACTACTACTACTACTACTACTACTACTACTACTACTACGACTACGACTAGTACTACTACGACTACTACTACTACTACTACTACTACTACTACTACTGCTACTACTACTACTAGTACCTAGTACTACTACTACTACTACTACTACTACTATTACTACTACTACTACTACTACTACTACTACTACTACTACTGCTGCTGCTACTAATACTGATAATAATACTACGCGTACTTCTATTACGGATACTTCTACCACTACCACTACTACTATTACTACGACTACTACTACTACGACTACTAGTAGTACTACTTCGACCACCACTACTATTATTACTACTCCCACTACTCCTACTCCTACTCCTACTACTACTACTACTACTACTACGGCTACTACTACTACCATCGCTACTCCTACGAGAATTCTTCCTACTACTACGACTACGACCACTACTACGTCTACTACTACTACTACTACTACTACTACTACTACTACTACTACTACTACTACTACTACTACAACTACTACTGCTACTACTACTGATACTACTACTTCTGACTACTACCACTACTACTACTACGACGACTACTACTACTACCACACTATATTATTACTACTCATACTACTCCTACTAACTACTACTACTACTACTACACTACTACTACTACTATACTATAATAATAATACGAACTACTGCTACTATACTACTACTACTACTACTACCACTGCTACCACTGCTACTACGCTACTACTACTACTACTACTACTACTTAACTACTACTACTACTACTACTACTACTACTACTATCGTACTGCGGCGACTGCTGCTACTGCTACGCGACACTGCGACTGCGATTGTTACTACTACTGCTACTACTACTACTACTACTACTACTACTACTACTACTACTACTACTATTACTACTACTACTACGACTACGACGACGACTACGTCTACTACGACCACTACTACTACTACTCATACTACTACTACTACTACTACTACTACTACTACTACTACTACGACTACGTCTTCGACCACGACTACGACTACTACTACAACTACTACGACTACTACTTCTACTATAACTACTACTACGACTACTACCACTACTACTACTACTACTACTACTACTACTACTACTACTACTACTACTACTACCACTACTACTACTACTACTACTACTACTACTACTACTACTACTACTACTACTACTACTACTACTACTACGACTACGACTACTACTACTACTACTACTACTACTACTACTACGACGACGACGACGACGACGACGACGACTACTACTACTACGACTACGACTGCGACTGCGACTGCGACTACGACTACGACTACGACGACGACTAAGACCACGACCACGCTTACGACTACGACTATGACTACTACTCCGCGGTGAGAATGCGGGTCACTGGTGGAAACGGCGGCTTGCCAGACGAATCGCCACACATGTCCCCAGAACGTCTGAAAATCCGTCCTGAGAGGAAGGTAGAGAGAGAATGGCGCACGAAGGCAAAGGGGGACGCACGACAAGCGGGGACGAAATGCCGAGGCAAACGGGGGAGGGGGGAGGACGAACGACAAGAAGGACGACCGAGGAGGACGACGCAAGGTCCGACTGTTCCTTCCCCGACTCTTTCTCATCGATCCTCAGCCTCGATCCCGCATCCTCGAGGTCCGAGGAGCGAGGGTCCTCTGAGATACCCTCCAGGCACCTCTGGAGATCTCCACCCCCCTCCGCCCAAACTAGAGGCCTCCTAGATGGTGTCCGAGTCGATGGGGTCGGAGGATCTCGCCGCATCGCCAGTGCATGGCCGATGCATCGCCGATGCATCGGCGATGCATCGCCGACGTTGGAGAGAATGGAGCCCCGTGTCGAGCCGCATCGCTGATGCATCGCCGATGCGTCGGCGATGCGGCGCGATCCTCCGACCCCATCTGCTCCGACCCCATCTGGGAGGCCTAGACTAACGTCGTCAGGCCTGGGCCCCGCCGGGTGGAGCAGGCGTGCTTCCACAGGCCGCCGTGCTGCCGCAGGGCACGCCGCCCGCCAGGAGCGCTGGGGGCTCGCTGCCGGGCGTGGCGCGCCTCGGCCACGAGTAGGCGCCCCGATCCAGCGGTGGGGGGGGAACGGGCCGGAGCCAGAGCCCCCTCCCGGGCCCGGGAGTGCCCAGATGGGTCGGAAGGAGCAGCTGCAGTCGGCCTCGAACGGACAGGACAGGCGAGGGGGCACGAGATTTTCCCAACCCTCCTGCGTTGGGTACTCGTTTTGAATAGAGCACTGCGGTCGCGTCTCCCCTCCTCCTCCTTCCCGTCCCCCTCCTCTCCTCCCTCCTCCTCCTCCTCTTTTCTCTTGCATCCCTTCTCCTCTCTTCGCTCCTCCTCTTCTCTCTATTACTTCCCTTCACCTCTCAACTTCGGTCCTCCTCTTCTCTCTTGCCTTTTACGTCGCTTGCCCCTCGCCATCCCTGGGGGGCTGCGATCTGTGAAACTGTCGCCACTTTCGAGGGCTGCTGGGGGGTTCAGCGGAGTGACGTCTTACGGGGACTCAGATTAGACCTCGCCATCGCTGGGGGGCTGCGATCTGTGAAACTGTCGCCACTTTCGAGGTCTGCTGGGGGGCCCAGCGGAGTGACGTCTTACGGGGACTCAGATTAGACCTCGCCATCCCTGGGGGGCTGCGATCTGTGAAACTGTCGCCACTTTCGAGGGCTGCTGGGGGGCCCAGCACAGTGACGTCTTACGGGGACTCAGATTAGACCTCGCCATCGCTGGGGGGCTGCGATCCGTGAAACTGTCGCCACTTTCGAGGGCTGCTGGGGGGGGCAGCGGAGTGACGTCTTACGGGGACTCAGATTAGACCTCGCCATCCCTGGGGGGCTGCGATCTGTGAAACTGTCGCCACTTTCGAGGGCTGCTGGGGGGCCCAGCACAGTGACGTCTTACGGGGACTCAGATTAGACCTCGCCATCGCTGTGGGGCTGCGATCCGTGAAACTGTCGCCACTTTCGAGGGCTGCTGGGGGGCCCAGCACAGTGACGTCTTACGGGGACTCAGATTAGACCTCGCCATCCCTGGGGGGCTGCGATCTGTGAAACTGTCGCCACTTTCGAGGGCTGCTGGGGGGCCCAGCACAGTGACGTCTTACGGGGACTCAGATTAGACCTCGCCATCCCTGGGGGGCTGCGATCTGTGAAACCGTCGCCACTTTCGAGGGCTGCTGGGGGGCCCAGCACAGTGACGTCCAACGCAGATTCTAGACCTCGCCATCCCTGGGGGGTTGCGATCTGCGAAACTGTCGCCACTTTCGAGGGCTGCTGGAGAGCTCAGCGGAGCGACGTCCCACGCGGATTCAGATTTGACCTCGCCATCCCTGGGGGGGTGCGATCTGCGAAACTGTCGCCGCTTTCGAGGGCTGCTGGAGGGGCCAGCGGAGTGACGTCCCACGAGGATTCAGACTAGACCTCGCCATCCCTGCTTTTCGATCGTCGTCCTGTCCGTCGTGCAACGTATGCGCATCCCATGTAGCTTGCGCAGCCAATCAACGCGTCTACACTGTCGTTGTTCCCGCTAATGTTGGCCTACTCCTCTTGCCACTTGATGCACGTGGGTTGGGTACGTCGCAGGGTAATTTTTATTCGCGGGTCGAGAGCGCACCTCTTCCGGTCGAAGCTAAGCGGGCCGCGCGAAGCTTGAATTAACAGGCGAGGGGGCACGAGACCCTTCCGAGGGCCACGTCGCCATGGGAGTGCAAGAGGGCACGTGTCGCGAGGCACAGGGCGCAAGGGTACCCTTGAGCTGGCAGGGTCGACCTACGAATCCGGGCCGACTGTAGCTAGGACCATGAAGTAGGAGGGCGTTGAAAATAGATTGGGTGACCGCCCCCCCTCCACGAGGAGGACGGAAAAAGTGACGCCACTCGATCGTTGACGTAGAGAGGCGCTCAAAGCAGATCGGAATCCGGGCATCCCAAAATACCTGTCAACGACCGGTAGGTATGTTCCCCGACCTAGATTTAGGGAACGGGCCGAAACCAGAGCCCCTCCTGAGCCCGTAGTACAGTGGAGGCAAATCCAGAAGAAACCTTCCACGAGACACCCAACCCTGAGACCCTAAGACGTCTATCGACTTCTGGTGTGGGAACGTCACGCTGCCCATCGCAAAACCATCGAGACCCAAGAAACCCAGGGCACCCTGGAGGCAAGCAGGGTGTTTCTTGGCATGGGTTTCCAATGTAGTCTGTATTTCAGCGTCTCGGCAGTACTAAGCTCTGAACTGCCTGCAACGTTTCTTTCGCAGGTGAGCACTTCGGATGTACGAAAAAACGACGCGCTTCCAGCGCAGATGTGCCGCCAGTCCTTACAAGTGTGTTCTCACATGTACTCCAGGAGACGCCAGCAGCCTCGCTAGTCCAAGCTGAAGAATCGCAGGAGACGTTTAAGCTTCATCCCTCCTTCCCCCACTCCCATTTCATCCCCTCCCGGTCGCTACAGTCCCTCCCCCCTTCGCTCCCCAACCCCCACTCCTCTCTCCCCATACCACTGGTTACCACCCGTAGGACCCAAGCCACCTCGTCTGCGCAAGAGCGGAACGCATACGGCCTCGCACTGTCGTAAAGCGGAAATAGATGCCCAGCGCCACAGATAAGATGCACAGAAGTGGTTGGACCCCATAAGACCACAAGCCCGCGACAGCAACACACCGTTTGCAGACCAAGTAACAAGAGCTGTGATGAGAACTTACCATCAAGAAAAAACCCGCCTTCCTGGTGATAAGTCCACTGGGCATTAATCAAAACCACTACTACTGCATGTCAAGGTCGCGACACCTGTGACAAAGGGCACTGCGCCACTATCTGGTGAGCACTACAAGCGGAATGGCGACAACTGTGCAAGTCCACAGCCTGCCGGCACCGATAAACCTAGGGCAACTATCTTCGCGCTTCGCGCTCCACAGCGCGAAGCGCGACTATCGTCCCTCCCTCGCGCCGCCGACCCCCCCCAAACTAAAAAAAACCTGAACAGGATGAGGGACCCGCGCCTCGCTCCGGAATCGCCTAGACCGCGAAGCGCGAAGCGCGACTACCCATCGGTCGGCAGAAGTAGGCAGAACCATGAAGCAGGAAGGCGTTGAAAACAGATTGGGCTCCGTCCGCCCCCTACGGAGGACGGAAAAGGTGAAGTCGCTCGATCACTGAAGAAGGAAGGCGCTCAGAGTAGATATGGGATCTGGGAACCCAGAAATACCTACTTTCGTAGGGGCACAAAAAGTGACATAAACATAAAAACTCGGAGGGCTGCGCGGATTTCTCGGATCGGCGCTGGACCCTCCTCCCTGGCGCGCGGAGCGCGCCAGGGGCGGCGCCAGAGGCGCCGCCAGGGGGCACCAGCGCCGATCCGAGGAATCCGCGCGGACCTCCGGGTTTTTATGTGTACGTCACTTTTTGTTCCCCTGTTTCAAAGACCGACGGCCAACCTTCGCACCCTCGTGCTGGCCCCTGGGGCACGCACTGCCGACGAGGCGGTGGCGGGCGGCCCCCGGCGGAGGCGGCGCCGGCACGGGCACGGGGGGCGGCCCCCCCCCCCGGGGCTCTCGGAGGCGGGAGGCGGGAGCCGGAGCGGGAGCGCTGGGGGGAGGAGCAGGAGCACGAGGAGGAGGAGGAGGAGGACGACGAGGAGGAGGAGGAGGAGGAGGAGGAGGAGGAGGACGAGGACGAGGGCGAGGACGTGGACGAGGAGGAGGAAGAGGAGGGCGAGCAGGAGGGCGAGGAGGAGAAGCGAGGAAGAGATAGGAAGGGACAGCAACAGCCGCTGGGCTGAAGGAATCGCCCCCGGGGGCGCCGCGCGCAGGTCCATCACCGCTGGGGGGTCGGGGTCGGCCTTGGGGGGCGACGGGGGCGATTCTCTCATCCCAGCGGTTGCCGTGCCTTCCTCGCCCATGAATAGGCAAGAGCGCTCCACTACTCGCAGAATAATTACTCGCAGAATGCCCTGGATCCGCCGAGGGGGATCTACAATCCATTACATCGAGGCAAACATGTGTTTTGCTTATGACGTCTGCGAGTAGGCACTTTGCGAGTAGCGCACGCGCTCTGTAAATGGAACCAGACCTCCTCGAAAGGCGCCGTTGCGAGGTGGCCGCAGCCAGCACACCACTGCTGGCAGAACCTGCCCCCAAGGGTGGCGGCAGACGCAGCGCGGAGCGGCAGGGCTAGCCTTCTTGTCCAGCTCGACGACATCTGTGAGATATTCTTCGCACTCTTGAGACGGCTGTTTGGCGGCGAGCGCGGGGGGGAAGTGAGAAGGGGCGGGCCTTCCCAGATTGCCTGAAAGTCCCCCGGCCTTCTGAGAAGTTTTCCAAACCTTCCCCGAACACGAAAATTTTCCTGGAGAAGGACCCAACCATATGCAGTTCTGGGTACTGTAATTGTGAATGTCTTCTTCGGTGGAGCTCCCTATGGGGCCACGAGGCGCTGCTGCACTGGGAGGGGGGGAACGCATGCGGGCGGTACCACTGGGGCCGTCGATGGAGCTCCGTATGGGGCCACGAAGCGCTGTACTAAGGGTGGAAATGCCAAATTGGGTGTGTGGGACGCATACGGGCGGTCCCACTGGGGGCTTCGGTGGAGCTCCCTATGGGGCCACGAAACGCTGTGCTGGGAGGGCGTAAATGCAAAATTTGGTCTGTGGGACGCATACGGGCGGTCCCACTGGGGCCGTCGGTGGGGCTCCCTATGGGGCGACGAAACGCTGTACTGGGTGGGTGAAAGTGCCTAATTGAACGTGTGTGGGACGCATGCGGGCGGTCCCACTGGGGGCTTCGGTGCAGCTCCCAATGGGGCCACGAAACGCTGTACTGGGTGGGAGAAAATGCCAAATTGAGTGTGTGAGACGCATGCAGGCGGTCCCACTGGGACCTTCGGCGGAGCTCCCTATGGGGCCACGAAACGCTATACTGGGAGGGTGAAAATGCCAAATGAAGTTTTCGGGACGCATGCGGACGGTCCCACTGGGGGCTTTGGAGGAGCTCCCTATGGCGCCACGAAACGTTGTACTGGGCGGGTGTAAATGCAAAATTTGGTCTGGGGCCGTCGGTGGGGCCCCCATATGGGACAACGAAACGCTGTACTGAGTGGGTGAAAATGCCAAATTCGATCTATGGGGCCACGAAACGCTGTACTGAATGGGTGAAAATGCCAAATTCGATGTGCTGAAATGGGGAGGGTGGAACCACATGCGGCCGAAACGCGAACGCAGCCACCGGGACCTTCGGTGGAGCTCCCTTTAGGGCCACGAAACGCTGTGCTGGATGGGTGAAAATACCAAATTGGATGTGCCGAAATGCGGGAGGTGGAACCGCATGCGGCCAAAACGCGAACGCAGCCACTGGGACCTTCGGCGGAGCTCCCTATGGGGCCACGAAACGCAATACTGGGTGGGTGTAAATGCCAAGTTGGATGTGCCGAAATGGGGGGTGGAACCGCATGCGGCCAAAACGCGAACGCAGCCACTGTGGCCTTTGGTGGAGCTCCCTATGGGGCCACGAAACGCTGTACTGGGTGGGTGAAACGCAGAGAGGACGGAGGAGGGGGAGGAGGAGAAAGAGGAGGAGAACGCGGGGACCGTTAGTTCAAAACGATGACCCAACACCAGAGGATGATTGGGAAAAAAACTCTCACAAGCCGCGAGGGCTTCTAAGAAGTCCCGCCGCCTTCTGAGAGGGCCGTCTCCTTCTCACTTCCCCCCTCGCTCGCCGCCGAGCTGTTACTAGAGTTCAGATGTCCATTCCAGACATGCTCATATCGTAACGAAAATCCCGATGGGAGGAGTTTTGCCATTTTCAGCCTCTGGGGGCCCTTGCTGGGCCTCGGGACTGCCAAAACCGACTCGAGATGAAAAACCAGCCCCGGGGAAGGGGTCGGGACTTCTGGGTACCGCGTATTGAAAAAAACAAAGCATCGCGTGACTGAGATCGACTCCGACAAGGCCTCACTTTGGCACCGAGCACCCAGGGATTCACTCACCCAGCCGCCACTGAGGGGGAGGGAGAGGACACGGTCAATCCCCTTCTCGGCTACAACTCTGGCACGCCTCTCTTCTTTCCTGCCCTGACAGACACCCACAACCTACGCAAGCTCCTTGGTTTCGCAATCGTCGGGTTCGGAACAGCAGCGTCTTGATGAGGATGGTGAGGATGATAAGATGAAGATGACCAGGAGGAGGAGGAAGAAAGTAAGGAGGAAGAGGAGGAGCAGCAGCAGCAGCAGCAGCAGCAGGAGAAAGATGAAAGCCGTCACATGTGGTACCTGGCGTGCTCACTTCTTCAGTTCTCGTGCAGCTCATGCTTGCCGTGTTCGAGCTGGCATGGGCTCCCAAAGGGCAGTCTCGGGAGTCCCTCAGGCAGAGGGAGGTCGGAAACATAGACAAAGGCAGAGGACGAGTAAAGATGAAGACAGAAGCGGAGGCAGAGAAACAGACAGAGATGGACACAGCAGGCAAAAACAGCGAGAGAAAGAGAGAGAGAGAGAGACAAAGAGAGAGAGAGAGAGAGAAAGAGATAGATGAAAGTAGACAGACAGACAGACAGACAGACAGACAGACAGACAGACAGACAGACAGACAGACAGACAGACAGACAGACAGACAGACAGACAGACAGGCACACAGACAGACAGACACACAGACAGACAGACAGACAGACAGACAGACAGACAGACAGACAGACAGACAGACAGACAGACAGACAGACCGAAAGACGGGCAGGCAGGCAGACACACAGACAGACAGACGCACAGGCAGACAGACACACAGACAGACAGACGCACAGGCAGACAGACAGACAGGCAGACAGGCAGACAGGCAGGCAGGCAGACAGGCAGGCAGGCAGGCAGACAGACAGGCAGGCAGGCAGGCAGGTAGACAGACAGACAGACAGACGGGCAGGCAGGCAGCGAGACAGACGTGCGAGACAGGAAGGCAGGCACACCAGCGGGCAGGCAGGCAGGGAGGGAGAGAAGGAGAAACAGCGACGGAGACGGCAACGCCCCCGCGACTATCCCGCGCCCCCGATCGCAGGGGGCCGCGACGATCCCGCGCCTGGCCGACCCCCTGAAAGCCCGAGGTCACCCCTGACCCAGAATGCGGAAACGTCGGGGCTGGGGCTCTACCCAGCAAGATGACGCCTTGCACCTCATCCTCCTCCTCTTCTTATTTTTATTATTCTTATTAATATTCTTATTCTTAGTATTATCATTGTTATTATTATTAATATTATTATTAGTATGATTATTCGTATTCTTGTTATCCTTATTAGTATTAGTCTTATGCTCCCTAGTATTATCTTCATTCGTATTATTAATATTGTCATGATTAGTAGTATTATTCTTATTATTATTATCATTATCCTTGTCAGTATTCTTCTTAGTATGATTCCTCTTCTTCGTATTATTACTCTTCTCATTATTATTATTCCTCCTCCTCCTCCTCCTCCTCCTCCTCCCTCCCTCCCTCCCTCCCTCCCTCCCTCCTCCTCCTCCTCCTCCGCCTCCGCCTCCTCCTCCTCCTCCTCCACCTCCTCCTCCTCCTCCACCTCCTCCTCCTCCTCCTCCTCCTCCTCCTCCTCCTTCCGCCTCCTCCTCCTCCTCCTCCTCCTCTTGCTGATCCACCTCGTCTCTCTCCCCCATCTCCCCTCACCGTCCCCCTCCCTTTTGGCATCTTCCTCGTCCACTTGCTCCTGGCGAGCATGACTCTTGAGAGGTCCCCAAGGGCCCTGCGTTTGTCGAAGAACCCTTGCACTGTTGGAAAAGCAGAATGCGTGCGGCTCTCAAAAATGTGCCCTGTGCGCTGGGCAGGCGTCTCGCTCGAGACGTTCCCAACCCGCTTGAGCAGTCCACCTACGGGTCAAGACGGCGGCGCACTGCCTCAGAGGCCCAAACATCCAGCCAACCCCGAGGGACTAATGTTATATGGCTTGGTAATGCCCAGTCGAGTGGGAAGGACGGGGGACGCCTTTCCTCATCCTCATCCTCCTCTTCCCTCTTTTTCTTCTTGGTATGATTGAAATTACTATAATACTACTAATATTGCTCGTATCATCATTAGGCTCGGTATCATTAAAAGCACTATTATTCGTACTACCATGGTTATGCACAAATGATACTTTAATTGATGCTATCAGTATGATGATCCTTCTCCTCCTCCTCCTCCTCCTGCTCCTCCTCCTCCTCCTCCTCCTCCTCCTCCTCCTCCTCCTCCTCCTCCTTCTCTCCCACCTCCTCCTCCTCCCCCTCCTCGTCCCCCTCCTCCTGCTCCTCCGCCTCCTGCTCCTCCTCCTCGTCCTCCTCCTCCTCCTCCTCCTCCTCCTCCTCCTCCCCCTCCTCCTCCCAAGAACGGTAAGAAAGTAACTCACAGAAGCCTTTGTTGGTTCCCATGGTGCCAAGCAGCGCGTCCAGTAGCGCCCAGTGGCGCACAGAGCGGACACAACGCATCTCCCTCGCACGGCGCTCTGGGGCTCTATTTGGAAGCTATTCGGCGCCGGAGTGCGCGCTACTGGGCGCTCTTGGGCAATATACACTCGCGGCCTGACGAGGGGAAGCTTCCACACCTTCCTACCTAAGACGAGGAGGAGGCGGAGGCGGAGGAGGAGGAGGAAAAGTCGGGGGTTGCTCCAGGTGCCCCTGGCCCACGGCGCCCCCAGCTTTTCGCGCCGTCTTGGAACCCCGGGGGCCCTCTGGGCCTCGTGAGGGGTGCCCTGGAGGCCGTGAGGGCCTCCTCGGAAAGCCTGGGGGCACCCTGGGCCAGGGCCACTTCTAGCAACGCCCGAAAAGTGCGCCCACCGGCTTTCTCGGCTCTCTTCTCGAAGCAGGTCGCGCCCGCGCTGGCGCGGCTGCCCGCAGCTCTCCTGGGGCCAGCGGCGACGCGCGCGCGGCTCGGCGTCCGGCCAGGAGAGCATGGGCTGTCCCAGAGGAGGAGGAGGAGGAGGAGGAGGAAGAGGAGGAGGAGGAGGTGGAAGAGAAGGAGGAGGAGGAGGAGGAGGAGGAGGAGGAGGAGTAGGAGGAGGAGGAGAACACAGCGAGCCCGCAGAATAAGGATGCGCAATAAGGACGCAAGGGCCTTGGACGCCAAGTTCGAAGCTTTTCCAGCGGGGCGCGGCCAACGAAAGTGGCAAAGGATCGACCGAGGAGACAAAGATGCAGTGGTACCCTTGGGAATGCTGACCCCCTCCTTACTATGCGGGTTGACTGTATAGAGGCCTCCTAGGGGTCGGAGGATCGCACCGCATCGCCGATGCATTCGCGATGCATCGGCGACGCTGGTGATGCATCGGCGACGTCGACGTGAAGCAATCGGGCCCCACATCGAGCCGCATCGGCGATGCATCGGCGATGCGGCGCGATCCTCCGGCCCCATCCACTCGGACCCAAAAACCCCATCTGGGAGGCCTACAGTCGGGGCCCTGAAGAAGGAACCCTTTTTGTTGGGGAGGGGCGCCGTGTTTCTTAGTTGCTTTACAGTGCTCCTTGGGTTTTCCTGAGGTTTGCCATGGAACATCGGAGTTTAATGTATGGGAAAAAGGGGCCTCGTTCCTTATTTATCGTTCCTTAGGTCAACGCCCCGACTGTAGACTGCACCAGGAAAGATCGGGAGCCCACAGAGGACGTACGCGCCCGGCCCCGTACACGAAGATGTGCCCCCCCGTACCGTCCGCGAGGCCAGCGCCTCGTGTTGTGAGCATCCCGGCCATGCACAATGTCGAGGCCATCGTGGCTTCGTGGACGTGCACGTCCTTCTCTCGCTCCTGGGATTGTGCTGTTCCCATCGTACTTGAGGGCCAGATCCCAGAAACTGTTTCGAACCCCCAGGAAAGCATCGAAACAGCTTCGAAAGAGTATCGCCTCCCGGGGCCCGACACGTGAAAACACTCCGTTGGGGTACCTTCTTGGTGCTCGGAATTCTTTCTGGCGATCAAAGGTAAAATAGGTTGGAGCATCATAATCCTGGGAGGACAGAGATGGGATGGTACCTGGAAAGATGCAGGCGAAGGCGCCCCGGCCAGGCGCCTCAGGCGCATAAAAGCGCCTCGGGCGTCCCACAAGCGCCCCGCAGACATCCACTCAACCTCGGGCGCCTCAAGGCCTCCAAGTTTTCGGTCGGGCACGTCCACCTACAGACGAATTTCGGACGAAAATTCAAAAAAAAAAAAAAAAAGACGTGCCCGACTCAATCCAAGTTCCGCAAGGCTGGGCAGGAGGAGGAGGACGAGCCGGGACGAGGAGGTTCCGCTCGGTTTCTCTTTCTGTCTTCTCCAAAGGGGGCCGTGGGGCCCCCGGCCAGAGTGGTCGGCTGGGTCGCGGAGCTTTCGTTGCCCGCCGCGCAGGGCGGCTGCGAATGCTACCGAAACTGTTTTTGAGGCTCAGGTTTGCTTCTATACCTGTGGCAGCCCTGCCTGCCACACATGGCGCTGCGGTACTGGACGAGCCCTTTGGACTGGTCGATCCAACCCTCCCTCCTCCTCCGAGTCCCTCCTACTTGATGAGCAACACGAGTACCCCTAATTCTTTGGGATGGGACCTAAGCTAAGAAGGCCAACAAAAGCAGGGATACGGAGTCCTTGTTGCAGATGTCGCAGACGACACCACCCACATGTCTAGGGATAACCCAGAGAACCGATGACCTAAGCTAGGCCACGAACTCATTGTGTTATTCGGGTCAGGTGGTGTAGTATGATCAATGACTACTCCCTCCTCCTCCCTCTTCCGTCCTCCCTCCTCCTGCGTCTTCCTCCTCCCTCCTCCGAGGCCAGACGGGGGGGGGGGGGGGGCGCTCTCCCGCGAGAGGCCGCCAGGAAGCTCGCCCAGCCGCCGTCCTGGGCAGCGGCGGCGGAGGGGCCGGGGGGGGGGGCAGGGGGAGGGGGAGGGCCACGCTAGGTGCGCTCGCGTCATATCTGACGTCCTACCCCTCCCTCCCATCCCCTCACCATGGCATAGATCTCCTCTCTGTTCGCACCATCGGATGGCGGAGGGGGAGGACGGAAGGATCGGGTCGACTCGGCGGGAGGCAGCGTCGACCCCCCGCAGCGCCGTCCAGCCCCCCCCCTTTTTGTCGGAGGGCTCCAAAAGCGCGGAGCCTGAGGCTGAAAAACAATGGTGGCGGTGGTCCTATCCCGCCCTGCCCTGCCCGGCAGCCAACCGGGCCCCAACCATCCACCCTGGACGGGAGGGGGGAAGGGGGAATAAGATCTGTCGGACACGGCATTCCAGCAGTCTGTGTACCGGTCAGTGGGTGGCTAGGGGGAGGAGGAGGAGGAGGAGGAGGAGGAGGAGGAGGAGGAGGAGGAGGAGGAGGAGGAGGAGGAGGAGGAGAAGGACCAGTGTCAACCCAAGAGTCATCAACGATGTTGGAATAAACCCTCCCTCCAAGCTCCTTCTTCATAGGCCCCTACAAAGGTTCATTTCCACTGAAGCACCTGCCTCGTTGAAAGACAACCGTTTGAAGACCCGGAAGCATGCCAAAACATTGCTCTCGGGATTCCAATGCCACGGATCAACCTGACTGTTGCGTCTTGACGATCCTGAATTGTGCCACAACGCCATTCCCGGGACTTCAACACAGCGAATCAACGTAACTCTTGCACCCTTGGAACCCTGAATCCTTCCAAAACACAATTTCTGGTACGCTGATCGAGGAAACCCGTGAAACTCTTACAAAAGTTTACAACGAATGTGCGCGGCGATAAGGCGAGAGCCACATTTTGAAAATGGGTGGCCCTCAATCTTTGAAACGCTTACAAATTGTTTAAACGCATATGCGCGGCGCTAAGGCGAGAGCCACATGTTGAAAAAGAACCGCCCTCAATCCGCAAAACTCTTGCATATTTTTAAAACGGATGTGCGCGGCGCTAAGGCGAGAGCCACATTTTGAAAACGAGCCGGCTTCAATCCGTTAAACTGTTGTCATTTGTTTGTTTAACGAATGTGCGCGGCGCTAAGGCGAGAGCCGCATTTTGAAAACGACCCGCCCTCCATCTGTGAAACTGTTCCCAATGCTTAAGCTTCAGGGTCATAAATGGTGAGGAAGTCTCAGGCGAAACAATCGGCCCGCCCTACAAACTGGCCTCGGGGTGCGACAGGGAGAAGTTAGTTATAAGGAGAAGGAACGGAGGAGCAGGAGGAGGGGGAGGAGGAGGAGCAGCAGCAGGAGGAGGAGGAAAAGGACGAGGAGGAGGAGGAGAAGGAGGAGGAGGAGGAGCAGGAGGAGGAGGAGGAGGGGGAGGAGGAGGAGGAGGAGGAGGAGGAGGAGGAGAAGGAGCAGGAGGAGGAGGAGGACCGTTCCCCCAGGGCCAGGGTAAAGAACAGGGTACGCGGGCCTGCCCACGCACGCCACCCGGACGCGAAGGGGGGGCACCCAGCAGCGAGATGCCGAGCGGTCCGAGGCAAGCAGACGACAGTAGGAGAGCTCTCGACAATACACCACCACCAGCCCTGGCCTGGCCTGGCCTATCGTGGGTCCTGGGCTGGTGTACAGGCCTTTCTGGCCTAGGCCAGGAGGTCTGTACACCGATCCAGGGTCCAGGAAGTGCCTGGCCAAGGCTGGTGTGGCGTATAGTTGGCGTCCCTCCGAGACGGAGCGGGCGAAGAAGATACCAAGATCCATCAGTTCAGTAATCCTCGCCTCCCCAGTCGCCATGGAGACGCTCAGGGGCCAGATCGCTGAGCTGAAGGATCTCGGGGGGCGTGGGAGGGAGACGGGGAGCAGAGAGGGCCCCCCGGAAGCCCTCGGCTTACCCCTCACGCAGGTCGTACCTCGTGCGCCCCCGGAAGCCCTCGGGTCAGCCCCCGACTCGACACACCCCTCACGCACTTCGCGACCCATGGACTCCTAGAGGTCCTCAGCTGGCCCCATAGAGGCCCCCAGAGAGGCAAAATCGCACCGAAAAAGGCCACGCGGAGGCTCGAAGACAGCCTCGCGGAGGCCCCTCGAGGAGTAACAAGTCACTGCAGGACCGCTCCCACACTCCCCAAGGGACGCCAAGACGCCCCCCGCCCACCCCCGGGTGACGCCAGGACGGCCCAAGAGAACCATCGCAACGATTGGTACCGAGCTTCACCGAAGCCGTACACCCCCCCCCCCGACACCCCTCGACCGCGAGTTTTGCGTGCTCGCGTCCCCGAGGAGGCCCGGCGTGGCGCCTGCTCTGTAGGCTCAACACACCCAGCGCGACCCGGTCGAGGAAGCAGTGAGACCGAATGTCAGCGAAAGACATTCAGGGAATAGGTGGTTTAACGAGTGTGTGCCTCACCCGCCCCCGCATTTCCCTCTGGAGAGCGGCTCTAACTGCTCCTTTGTTGACAGAAGCCCCTGTCCACCACTCGACTGGTCACCTACCAGGAGACCTGAGCCCCCCAACCCTGACATCCCCTCAAAAAAAAGCACAATGTGCACGTGGCGGCAGAATCAGGATCGTGAGCGGGACCCCCACGAGCAATTTGCATTGGCCTTTGAAATTAAAAGCATAACAAAGGTGTGATCATATTTGTCAGCTGTGCGCAGTCCGATCATCCCTTCGGGGGGGGGAACAAACAAACTCACTGAGGGTGCACACAACATACATCACGCAGACCACACCGCCTCCACTTTGCAGTGGGTTTCGGCACGCATGGTCGGGAGGCCCATTGCTGCCACGTGCTCTGGCGTACCAGACGCACGCTGTGTGCAGGTCGGGCAGGTCCTCCTACAGACGGAGTTCGGACGAAAAACGAAAGATGCCCCAAAAATGCCCCCCAAAAGGATCAAACATACTCGAGTCGATCCGATCCTACCTCCTCCCTCCTCCTCCGAGCCCCTCCGACTTGATGAGCAGCACGAGTACCCCAAACTCTTTGGGACGGGACCTCAGCTAGGTGCGCTGCGCGCGTGCGCGTCGTGGAGGTCGCGCCTGGCCGCCGCCTGGCACGCTTGGGGCTCTGGGGGCACCCACGCGCCTGGCACGCGCCGCGCATCTGGCACCTGTGGCGCACCCCGCGAGCGCCGCACACCCGGCGCCAGCAGCGGCTCCCCATCGATGCCCATCCGATGACGACATCTGCCTAGACTGAGGTCGGGCATGTCCTCCTACAGGCGATTTCTGTAGGAACATATAATATATATACACATATATATGTACCTTTATGTTTGCAAAAAAAAAAAAAAAAAAAAAAAAAAAAATGTCAAACGTATTCAAGAAAACATCTTCAAGAAAACATCGTCCCCATAGTATATTTTGTCTCTGTTTGAATATACCTCCTGTACAGCGACAGGCCCGACTGAAGCCTAGGCTGAGCCTCGGATGCCACATGCATGGTGTGAATTCGCCCCTGTCGCCTCCGACTGCCTTCTGACTGCCCCAAGGCGCCCCGCGAGGCTCCCCTCCTGGCGCCGAAGACGGCCAGAAAGCTCCCGTGGCGATCTCTCCACGACGCGAAGCGGGCGGGGTCTGTTGCCACGCCCGCAGTGGGTACGGGAAAAACCGCACGACGCCCAAGAGTAAGAGCACATGATGTCCCGAACCGACAGCGGCCGTTCTTGGGCAGGCGAGCTTGTGTCTCGAATGGACAACGCCCGCGGCGAAACAGACAGGACACGCTGTGCGTCTTCGTCCCCTCCCTCTCCGTGCCCATGGCGGAGTCTCTCGGCGAAGACGCGGCCGGCGAGGCCGCGGGGCCCGCCCCCGCCGCGATCTCTCCACGACGCGACGAGTGGTCTACGCGGAACGCGGTCGGCCAGGCCGCGGGCCGAGGTTCGGGGAGCGAGGCTCGAGGATCGATCCGCGAGTACGGGGGCTCGAGGCGCGAGGTTCGGGGAGCGAGGCTCGAGGCTCGATCCTCGAGGACCAGGGCTCGAGGGGCGGGGCTCGAGGAGCGAGGCCCGGGGCTCGAGCTTCGAGGCCCGAGGCGCGCGGAGCGAGGCTCGCGGAGCGAGGCTCCAGGCTCGACCTCTTCGAGGCTCGGGCTTCGAAGGAGGAGGAGGCGGTAGAGGCAGAGGCGAGGAGGAGGGATCAGGAAGGAGAGGAGGAGGAGGAGGAGGAGGAGGAGGAGGAGAACGAGGGTGGCGCGTGCGAGGTTCGAAGCTCGACATCGAGAACTTCCGCCCTCCCCGCGGGCCTCCGCGCCGGCCCGAGCGCGCGGCCGCAGCCCGCCGCCCGCGGCCGCCGCCGCGCCGGGGTCGCCGCCGGCCCGCGCTGGCGCCGCCTGGCGGCGCGAGGTCGTCTCCTCCTCCTCCTCCTCCTCCTCCTCCTCCTCCTCCTCCTCCTCCTCCTCCTCCTCCTCCTCCTCCTCCTCCTCCTCCTCGCCGTGGGCGGCGCGTCGGCGGCGCGTGGGCGGCTGGAGCGAAGCCAGGGCAGGGAGAAAATCGGACAGGGAGGGATCGGGGAATCTCTGGGGTCTGCGCAAATCCCACCAGCCCTCTGGGCGTAGGTGGTTCCGGGAGTTTCCTCTTCCAACCTCCTTCGTCCCCTTCGGGGAGGGGTTTACCCCTCCCCCTAACCCCCTCCCCTGGACTTGGACCCCCTACCGCTAACCCCCTCCCCTGGGCGGCTGGAACGAAGCCAGGGCAGGGACAAAATCGGACAAGGAGGGATCGGGGAATCTCTGAGGTCTGCGCAAATGTCGTTGCAACTGGAGCCGACCAAGACTGAGAGTGGCAACTGTGAGTCTTCAACCAGAAAAAGCTGAGTCTCAGACTGAGGCTGATGCTGAGGCTGAGGCTACGCGCACAGCGACTCCAGGGGACGGCCCTACACGTCAACAGCTGAGAAGACGAGGAAGAGAAGGACGAGAACACGAGGATGCCCATTCGGCAGGCGAATTGTTACACACTCCTTCGCGGATATT